GATGCAGTGGGGGCATCTAAGCCTGTGTTCTCCCATGCTTCCTGTGGCCATGGTGGCTGCTCATAGCACTCGACAGCTCTGTGTGTGTGCGTGCGTGCGTGCGTGCATGCGTGAGAGAGAGAGAGAGAGAGAGAGAGAGAGAGAGAGAGAGAGAGAGCTAGAACACACACTGGTGTGAGCTTGCCTGCTCTCAGGCCACCCCAGCATCCCATCCTGAGCTGGAGTCTTTTTTTCTTCCTTTCCAGACCACAGCGGACACTGGGCTGTTCTTGCATCGGCCACAGCCTCACACGTCCACATTCAGTTCTCTACCTCTGCCCCAGGTCACCTTCTGCCCCCACTCCAGATGTCCAGGAGCCAGACTCAGCAGCCTGGGAAGGCAGACAATGGGACTCCTGGAGCCAGGCTGGGGTCGGGCTCAGCAGTGGGCTGGGGCTGAGGCCACCACAGAAGGCTGCTTGTGGCTGGGCCTGGCAGTGGCTAGAGCAAGGTCCTGCTCAGGTCAGCTCCTGAGGACCCCACCCTGGGCTCGGCCTGGGCACAGTGTTTCTGTGGAGTTGGGAGGAAAACTTCAGGAGGTCAGGTTTATTTTGAGGCCCAGGGAGGCAGGGAAGAAAATGAATCCCGGCCTTTAGCTTCCACCCTGTGCCTTTACCCAGCTCTTTTGTTTTTGGTTTTGTTTGTTTGTTTGTTTTTAAACAGGGTTTCTCTGTGTAGCCCTGGCTGGCCTGGAATTCACTCTGTAGAATTCACAGCTATCCACCTCTGCCTTCCAAGTGTTAAAAGTGTGTGCCCAACACACCTAGCTCTTTACCCAGCTCTCAAGTCCCCATGCTAGCTGTGAGTCAGAGGACCATGGGGCCATGCAGCTGTCTGCTCATCTGTACAATGGGGACAGATGGTCCGAGGGGACCGGAGACACGTCTCCCAGCACTAGATACACATAGTGTGTGTGCTGTCTTCTCTTCCCTTTCTGCCGAAGGATGACCCTCTCTCTCTCTCTCTCTCTCTCTCTCTCTCTCTCTCTCTCACACACACACACACACACACACACACACACACACACACACACACACACACTCCTCCCTCAGACTGCTGGCCCTGGAAGGCCATCTGCAGCACACTCAGATCTCACCGCTGTCTGGGAAAGGAGAGCTGGCAGAGCCCAGCCAGCCCCTTGCTTCTGGGCAACAGCCTCCCCGCTCCAGACCTCGATTCCCTCCCTGGTCCCTTGGAGGGTTCTTGGGATGGCCCTGGACCCCAGCCTTCACACCAGGGCTCTGCCGCAGTCTCGGTGCTGGTTCGGGTGGTGGGAGGAGTCTCGGCCTCTCCCAGGACCTCTGCATCTGCCTCCCTTTGCCTGGAGCGGGGAGATGGGCTGCTGACTGCGTCTGTGGTTCCGCCGGCAGTCTACAGGGAGGCACATACCTGGTTCAAGTCTGCAAACATCCCAATGGCAGGGGCCCTAGGAGAGGGAGAGACAGAAGTCTATCTACCTGCTTCTCCTGGAAGCTAAGGGACCAGGTCTCCCCCTTCCTGTCCCCTGGATGTCCTTGAAGCTATTTTTATATGTTGCTGGAAACCAGAATTACAGCCAGAGCTGAGGCGCTAGGAGGTTTCCCTGGCGCTCTGGGTCTTGCCTCGGGGAGCAAGGGCCTTTACGGGAAGATTGGTGGAGGTGGGCCAGGAGTCCACAGTGCAGGTGGGGAGCGTGGGTCCCTGGTCAGTGGAGGAGGTCATTACTAGCAGGTCCCTGAATGACACACAGGTGAGAAGCAGTGACTCCGGAAGGCTGTGGTACCTGTGACATTGAGTCAGTCAGTCACCTTTGGCCTCTTCTTTTTTCCCCCTATTTTTTTTTTTTCAGACAGCATCTCACTATGTAGTCCTGGGGACTCTATGCAGAGCAGGCTGACCTCCAATTTACAGAGATCAGCTTGTCTCCTGCTTCCAGAGAGCTTGGATTAAAGGCCTGCTTTTTAAAGTTACATTTATCTTTCTGTTTTGTGTGTAGGGTGATTGGACAGGTGCACACTCAGGAAGGTCAGATGACAACTGGCAGGAACCGGATCTCCCCTCCCACCACGTGGCTCCTAAGAATCAAATTCAGCTTGTCAGGCTTGGTGGCAAGCACCTTTACCCACTGAGCCCTCTCGCCAGCCCCGACACCTGGCCTCCTCAGGCCTTTAAGAAGGAACCCTCCCAGGGACCAGGAAGCCGGGCTGGGACTGGGAGTGTGTTGCCCAGAAGCAGGGGGCTTGTTGGGCTCTGCTGGTCTAGGTTCAGGATGAGGTCACCCACTAAAGAGTCCTGTGTTCCAGGCACACACACTCATGTTCTGTCTCAATCCTCCCATGGTTCCCACTGCACAGAGCAGACACACAGTCCTGGCTTCTCTGGGCCTTGTGTCTGAGAGGTTTGACCTGCTTCTCAGCACTGCCTTCTTGGCCTGCCCTTCTCTGCCTGGCCAGTATCTTCTGAGGAGCTGAGGGCGGATCTGGAGGGAGGAAGGACCCCAGAGCAGGAGGTGTGCACCGGCTGGGTCAGCTCCAGCTTCCGCTTTGCCAGGATCTCTGGGAAAACAAAGGAAGCAAGCTAGAGTGGCAGAGGCCCTGGGGCTGCGCTGTGGAAAGAGTGGCTGAAAGGTGTGTACACTGGCAGCAGGGTGGGAGGCGTGGGGACCAGAAGCCCCGGGCTGAGGATGACCGCCCAGGGTACGTAAGTCAGACTCCCCTTAACACCGTCTGAGGAACACAAAGACAAAATCCTGGAAATTCCTAGAGCGAGTTCTTGGCTGCTGCCCTGAACTGTCGAGACCAGGAAGCAACAGCTTGTGGATGGCAGGAGTTACTAGGTCACAGGTCATGGTCAAGGGTGTCCATGATCTGAGACCTTCAGTTCTTCAGTGCATTTCCCTTCCCAGCTCCTCTCCCAGGGCCTGATGGCTGTCCCCAACGTGCTTTGTTAGCTGAGCATCCGGTCTCTTGTCCTTGTTACCTGGCTTGCTCTTGCTTGGTGTGTGTATGTGTGTGGTATGTGTGCAGAGTGTGATGTGTGTGTGTGTATGTGTGTGTTGTGTATATGGTGTATGTGTTTTGTGTGTGTGTGTGTGTGTGTGTGTGTGTGTGTGTGTGTGTGTAGTGTAGTATGTTTGTGGGAGGATTGGGAGTATGGGGTGTGTGATACGTGTGTAGTGTGTGTGTGGTATTTGTGCATGTTGGTGTGTGTGTGAGGTGTGTGTGTGTGGTGTATGTGTGTGTGGTGTGTATGTGGGATGTGTGTGTGGTGTGTGTGTGTGTATGTGGGATGTGTCCAGTATGTCTGTGTGTGTGATGTGGTGTGTATGTGGGATGTGTGTGTGTGGTATATGTGTGTGTGGTATGTGTCCAATATGTCTGTGTGTGTGGTGTGGTGTGTATGTGCGTGCATGTGCGTGTGTGTGTGTGTGTGTGGTGTATGTATGTGTGATGTGTATGTGGTATATGTATGATGTGTATGTGGTATATGTGTGTGTGATGTGCATGTGGTATATGTGTGTGTGATGTGTATGTGGTATATGTGTGTGTGGTGTGTATGTGGTATATGTGTGTGTAGTGTGTATGTGTGGTGTGTGTGTGCTGTGCAGTGTGTGTGTGTGTGTGTGTGTGCTGTGCAGTGTGTGTGTGTGTGTGTCTGCCTCCCTAGTGCTGGGATGATAGTGTATGGGGTGCTGAGGCTCAAACTCAGGCCCTCGTACCTGGGCACAAACCCTCTGCTGACCAAAGCTGTCTCCCCAGCCTCCAATTTCTGTTTCCTACCTTGATTTTAATTCCGTCGTAGGAGAACATAAAATGAGAGCGTGGGGAAGTTTTACCCTTATTTACTCTGAGAGCAAAACAGATAAAGAGCCACACTTTGTGAGTCACTGGCCGCTTTGTCTTGTGGGGGTAACAATGAGATAGTAATCATTAATTAAAAAAGAAAAAAGAACAATCAACAGATGGTGGTGGCGCATACCTTTAATCCCAGCACTCAGGAGGCAGAGGCAGGAAGATCTCTGTGAGTTCGAGGCCAGCCTGGGCTACCAAGTGAGTTCCAGGACAGCCAGGGCTACATAGAGAAACCCTGTCTCGAAAAACCAAACCAAACAAGCAAGCACACCACACTGGGTGTGGCAGTACGTACATCTGTAATCTAGCACTTGGGGTGAGGCAGGAGGATCCTAGAGTTTGAAGGTGACCTAGTCTGCATAGTGAGATCCCACCTCAAAGCAACAGTCAAAAATCCATCGGCACCTATTACATGCCTGATAGTCTGTGGTGTCCCGGGACTACAGATGTATTCAATAGGACCCGTTCTGACCCTGAGCCCCAGTCCTAACGACACCAAAGCAACCTCCAACTAATCCAGGCTCCAAAAACAACTCTTTTCTTTTTTTTCTTTTTTTCTTTCAGATCTGAGGACTGAACCCAGGGCCTTGCACTTGCTTGGCAAGAGCTCTACCACTGAGCTAAATCCCCAACCCCCCAAAACAATTCTTAACTCCAGACTCAGCCCTGCTGTCACCAAGCCAGGCTGACGCCAGCCTGGGGCAGCACCGTATCTGTGGGTGCATCCTGGACCTTTCTCAGTGGGGTTGACTAAAATTCCTTGTGTGTGTGTTCATGTGTGTGAGGTACACATGTGTATGTGCACAGGTACATGTGTGGAGATTAGAGGACAACCCTAAGTGTTGTTCCTCAGGCTCCATACACCTTTGGGGGGAGAGTATGTCTTTGTGTGTGTACACATATTTAAGTGTGTGTGGGTCCATGCGGAGTCCAAGGAGCACACTTAGGTGTTGTTCCTCAGGAGTTCCTTTGGTTTTTGAGGCAGCTCTCTCATTGGCCTGGGCTTGCTGATTCAGCTAGGTAGATGGCTAGTGAGCTCCAGGGTTCCTCCTGCCCCTCTCTTCCCAGGGCTGGGATTCCGAGCCCACACCATCACTGGCTTCCTAACAGATGGGCTCTGGAGGACTCATGTCTCAGGCTTGCAAGGCAAGCACTTTCCTAGCAGCCGTCTCCCCAGCCCTGAAACTCATTTCTGATTCCAGGGCATTCTGTGTCTCTTCAAGGGAAGAGGTGGAAGATGGTGAGATCACTCTGAGTTACCTGCCCCAGCCAGGGGACGGCAGGGAGAAAGCGGCTGTGGGTGAGCATTTTCGTCTACCTCTCTGCAGGCTGATCTGGAGGCCGTTTTCTGGAATCCAGATTGCTGCCTGTTGCCTGCTGATTCATGTCCTTGCTGGCCTCTGGGCTACAAAGTCTCCCTCACCATGCACAGCGCTGAGCTTCGGATTCCAGGCTCCCAGATGCCTGCGATAAACTCAGGGCTTTTCACCACCCCCCACTCTCACCCCCCTCCTGCCCACTGCGGTCGCCTGCAGTTTGTAGGGGCCTCTTCATGGGTGTCACCTCCCCGGAGAGGCCTCCCTGGCTCCCTCCCTGGCTCCCTCCCTGGCTCCCTCCCTGGCCTCCATCTTGCTGATTGCTGTAGCTGCTGTTCTTCCCTTCCAGGGTATTCATGGGTGTTTGAGGGTGTGTGTTTGTTTGCATGGTTATTTCGTTAATGTCTGTCTCCCTGGCCAGACAGTGACTTCTCGAAGACAGCAACTTCTTTGGTCACCTTTGCAGCCTAGTTCTTAGCAGGGAGTCCAGCATACAGCTGACCTGCAGAAAACTTGGCTGGCTGGATGATGGATGGGCGAGTGGGTGGATGGATGAGTGGATGGGTCTTCCCACTTCTTCATGGAAGTGACAGGTCACAGCTAACAGAAGCACCTGCCTAGAGGATGTTTGTCCTGTGCTGGACCTAGCTTACCAGACTCCAGCTCCCTCCTGTGCAGTCTATGGTCGGCTCCTGCCACTGAGCGTTCTTGGGCTTCCTTAGAAGCCAGGGCGGGGAAGAATCTATCTGACCTTGTTTTAGATCCAGTTACATTTTTGACCCAGAGGCAAAAATGCTATCATAGATCCCTGACTGATGGGCAGTGATACCCACACCTGTCCTGTCCTGGCTCCCAACTCTGAGCACATTCATTCCCTGAACTGAGATGCTCATCTGTGCATCCACCTCCAGGCCTCCAGCCTGACTGTTGGAACAGGAACAGATTGCATTGATTGGCAGGTTCTCTTCCCACTTTGTTGACAGGCATACCGAGCCCAGCTTTGGATTCCTTCCTGGGCAATGGAGTTAGAGGTCAGAGTCCCAGGACCTTCCCCCTTCCAGAGGAGATGGGCTCCCTGACCCAGAATGAGTAGCTACTTCCTGGAGGGAAGAGCATCTGCCATGGGTTGTTTCTAGTGCCAGGCTGGGAGCCTCACACCAACCTGGTTTACTGTCAACCAAGTCCCTGGCTTAGGGTGGCTGGTGGCATGGAGTCCGGTTCTGTAGAATTCTTGAATCTTAACCTTAGAGTTTATAGGCAAAGCAATTCCCAGTACCAAAAAAGATGTCATCAAAACCACGTGGTTCAGGACTCAGCCTGGTGGGCGTCCTCTGCACTGCGGACTGCCACAGGCTCCATCCTCTTTTGAATGACTCACAAACCACACCCAAATCCCGCCCATTAGCCCCTGGCCACGCCCCACTCCGACGCCCGCTATAGGCTCCGCCCCCGCGGGCAGCGCGGGCCTCCCATTGGCCTCCGTTTCCATGGTTACTCGGGGGCCTGCAGCGCTGCTGGCTTCCCGACACGTGTCCCACGGAGCCGCCCGGAATTTGACAGGGGACCATGTGCGCGGTAGCGCGGGAGTCAGACAAAGGCCGGGGAGACGGTGGGGGACGAAGCTCGGTGGAGAGACGAAGCCAGGCGGAGAGGCTGGGAGCCGCACACCTCCCACCTGCTGGACACCTCCTCTCTCCCTCTTTTTATTTTGAAGAGGGAATTAAACAAAAGAGAAGAGTTAATGAGAGAGTGAGGTGGGAAAGGATCAGAGCCAGACCCCGTAGGCGAGCATCTACGAACACTCAGTATCCCCGTGTGCATCTCCCGGCCCTGGGCATCTCATCCCACCTTGACTTCAACCCTTGAGGTTCAAAGTCCGTTGTTTTTGCCTGGCTAGCTCTAGTAGGGAAAGCTTTACCGGTGTGGTTGTTTCCATACTTGAACAACGAGGTCTAAGCAGTTGTGGGGAACCTCTCACCACGACCTCCACGGTCCATCCATCCTCTGCCGCTCTTAGCGCCATCCCGCGTCCTCTCCCACAGGCGCTCCTGGGCTCTGGGCCCAGCGCTGTGGGCCACGGACTTGTGTCCTCTCACGCTCCCATTCCTCCTCTTGCAGCCCCTCACGGTTAGTCGCATGTCTTTCCGGCCCCCAACTTGGAGACCCTCTTTCTTCAGCTAACCCCCACCTCATCACCTGTGGTGTCGGTTCCTTAGGCTACCATAACAAATCGCTCCAAATTTAGTGTCATAAAACAACAGAGTTCTACAAGTCAGAGGTCAAATCTGACTGAATTCAAATTGTGTGGCAGCACTGGGTACCTTCTGCAGGCTGTGTGTGTGTGTGTGTGTGTGTGTGTGTGTGTGCACTGTGTTCCTTCTGCAGGCTGTGTGTGTGTGTGCGTGTGTGTGTGTGTATGTATGTGTGTGTGCGCGCACACTGGGTTCCTTCTGCAGGCTGTGTGTGTGTGTGCGTGTGTGTGTGTGTATGTATGTGTGTGTGCGCGCACACTGGGTTCCTTCTGCAGGCTGTGTGTGTGTGTGTGTGTGTGTGTGTGTGTGTGTGTGCGCACTGTGTTCCTTCTGCAGGCTGTGTGTGTGTGTGTGTGTGTGTGTGCACTGTGTTCCTTCTGCAGGCTGTGTGTGTGTGTGCGTGTGTGTGTGTGTATGTATGTGTGTGTGCGCGCACACTGGGTTCCTTCTGCAGGCTCTGTGTGTGTGTGTGTGTGTGTGTGTGTGTGTGTGTGTGTGCATTGGGTACCTTCTGCAGGCTGTGTGTGTGCATGCACTGGGTTCCTTCTGCAGGCTCTCTTGCTCTCTCTGTGTATGTGTGTGCGTGTGTTGGAAGGGTCAGCTTTCTTGCCTTTTTCCAAACAGAAAGCCCACCCACTGGCCCCTTCCAGTTTCAGGCCCCGCAGTAGGCCTCCTCTGGTGTTGGCCTTCGGATGCCTGCTTCCACATTTTAGAGCCTTCAATTACTCTGGCTTACTCGGATAATCTAGAATAATCTCCACCTCACGGGGGATGAGCTGCCTCGGAAGTTCTGTGCCGTGAAACAAGCCATTTCTGTGCTCTAGCAGTTAGGTTGGGGGCATTGTTCTGCTGACCATTCACCTCTGGACACCTCCCCCTCCCCTCTCCCAGTCTCTTTCTCGTCCATGCCTTTCTTCCAAGAAGCCTGCAGTGGTACCAGCCCAGTTCATGTCTCCTCTGACCACAGACCCCAGGGCCAGCACTCTAAAGCATGCATTCAGCCCCTTCCACAGCCCCAGCCACCGGAAGGAGAGCCTAAATGCCACTCGGACACCCGCAAACCTTGATCTGCCCCATCCATTTAGCTCCCCAAGATCCTCCCCTCTCTTACTTTGTACCTTTGCCGTGAATTCAAAATCACTTCCTGTTTTCTGTCTACCCCAGGATGTTTGCCCCCTCCCGGCCTGTGCCTGATGGTTCCACCCCGGACCTTTCTGTCCGCCCCCTTCATTCATCCCGCTGGCCCTGACCTGGTCCTCCTCCATTGTCCTTCCCCAGCACCTAAATGTGCTTATTATTTATTGACCTGTCACAGAGACCTTGCCTGTCTCCTCTTGTCCTTGAGAGTTCTGCAGGCTGGGCAGTGTCTTGCTTGTTTGACCTCAGAGCCCATCATGAGCTGGTCCCACCCAGATCCACTGGAAACCTGTGACCATGTACGGAAGCTCAAGGACTCAGTCTAGGGATGCTGAGGGGACCCACTGGGCATGCAGCATGAAGGTGCAAGAGCCTGTCCCTTGACAGGACAGCATGCCAGAGTAACAGCAGTGACAGCACCCGCAGCTGCTGGCACCGAAGCCACCCGGTGCCGAGTGTTAGCTCCTAGCTTGCTTCACGTATGTCCTCAGAACGGCCTCGGGAGTCCACCTCTCACCCGCTCCCCGCTTTGTGGATGAGGACCCTGGGCTCTTCAGGAATAGGCTGGAGGCCAGGGAAGTTCCTCGTGGCTCCTGCTGGAGGGAGGGGTGATGGGAGCTGGCCACAGCTGTTGTCGCCAGGTGAGGCAAGGTGGCCCTTCCTGGAGGAGGCTGAGACTGGTCCGGACTCGGGTGGGGCTGGGCAGGCCACTGGGAAGCCAGTTCCTGCATGCTCTTCCCCAGTCCTGCTTCCTTCCTGACCCTTCCTGTTTCCTCCTCTTCATTGTTCAGCGGGGCGATTGTCATCCTCACCCCGCCCTGGGCCTGCCCAGGCAGGATGTGCAGGCAGGAGGTTCAGTTTTCAAAAGTCAAGTGTGGATTAAACACCTTGAACCGCAGGCTCAATGAGGCTCAAACAGTCACTTTTGTGTTATGTGTGTTTTATCAAATAGAAAGATGGTTCAGTGGATAAAGGTGCTTGCTGCCAAGCCCGAGGACCTGGTGTCAGTCTCTGGAGCACACAGGGTGCAAGGAGAGAAACCGCTCTCGCGTGTTGCTCTCTGGCTTCCACACAGGGTCTGCGATATGCACATGTACTCCCCTCCAACTTTATCAAGGATTGCTGAATTTTAAAATGAAAATTATAAAAAGAAAGAAAAGCGATCCTGTTCACTGAGTGTGAGGCTCCATCCATGATTTTCCACATGCTTCTCATCTCATTTGATTCCTGGAACAGAGGACAGAGGTCTGAAGAGCCGGGGGCTGGCAGTCCCATGGGGCCTCTGGCTCTAGGGAGACACGGCCCGGAGATGTCTTGAGTGGGGCCCTCCCTCCTCCCTGCCTGCAGCCTTTAGAGTCACAGGTTGTTTCCTATCGCCCACTTTTCAAACAAGCAGGGTTAGTAGTGCTGTTCTCTCTGGTGGGTGGGAGGTTTCGTTGGCACATGTCACTACACTGTGGCTTGAACATCATGACAGATTCTTGGTGGTTTTTTAAGTTTTCTTTTTCTATTTTATGAGTATGTGCCCGCATATATGTCTGTGTACCACACGGATGTCTGGTGCCCTCAGAGGACAGAAGAGGGTGTTAGATTCTCTGGAACTCGAGTTACAGGTGGTTGTGAACTGCCATGTGGGTGTAGAGAACCAAACCCAGGTCCTCTGCAAAAGCAGCAAGTGCTCTTAACCACTGAGCCATCTCTCCAGCCTCCTGTATCCTCTCCACAATGCTCAGTGGACAAAGGGATGGGTGTGAGGCCAGGGGACTGCATAACGGCTTCAGCTACTGACTTTCCCTGTGTCCTAAGGAACATTGGCTCTCCTTGCTGCATCCAGGCCTTCTCTGTAATGTCCGGCCGGTGGGACAATGTGAGGAATCTGTCTGCTCACAGCCAAGGGGCTATGTCTGTGTCTTCGGGACCACCTTCACCCTCTCATCTCAAAATCATCCAGTGCCCACGGGAGAGGAAGAGGCGGAGGATGACGAAGCTGGTGGAGTTCTTGGCTCCCGGGGTCTGAACCTTTGGAGCTTTCTCAGTCTCCGGTGACCCTCACTCTGGCTTCTTCTCACCCCTGCAGGTGGCTGGACTTGTGCCACATCATTATAGGAGCCCTCCCCGCTCCACCCCTCCATGTAAGTCATAGGATCTCAGAAACAGGACTGGGCCCCAGGGAGGCTTCCCAGGAACCCAGAGTCCTAGGGCGTGGCTTAGCGGCCACTGAGATCAAGGCAAAGGAGGGCAGAGACTCCAAGCTCTGGGTTCTGGAGGAAGAGCTCTCAGGAGGCCGTGGGAGACACTCAGACACTTCAAAAGCAGAAGCTGGACTGTGGTGTCGCCATCGTGACCCACACATAATAACATTGCTGTACCTGGTGGGCCTCCCACTACCACGGCTGTGGGAGGGCAGGCACTTGGAGAAACAACCTGCTTACACACAGCTTCTGCTGGGCACAGAGGGTCGTACCTCATTTTCGGTGAGAAGGAGGTGGTGGCCGTTAGAGTCTTCCCTTTACAGACGGGGACAGAGACAGGAAGGTTAGTTAGCGGTGGCCTGAGGTAAGATTGGGACCTGTGGGATGGGGTAAAGACAGCCGGCGCTAGACCAGCCGTGGCGTGGTCAACCTGACAGTCTAGAGATGGGCCTCTGGCCTGGCCCCTGGGGGATTGTCTTGATTAGTTAACCGATGTGAGGAGACCCATCTCGATTGTGGGTAGGACCACTCCCTAGGTCAGGGGATCCTCGACTATATAAAACAGAGGGAGCAAACAGCACTAGCATACACTTATCTCTGTGTTTCTTGATTACAGATTCCATGTGACCTTCAAGTTCCTGGTGCCTTGCCCTCCCCGCCATGATGGACTGTACCCCAAATGGTGAGCCAAAATAAACCCTTGGTCCTTTGAGTTGCTTCTGTCATGGTTATTTTTGTTTGCTTGTTCGAGACAGGCTCTCACTGTGCAGCCCTGGCTGGCCTGGAGCTCACAGAGATCCTCCTGCCTCTGCCTCTCCTGAGTGCTGGGATTAAAGGGATCTGCCACACGGAGAATTGGCATGCCGGAGTGTTTTGTCATAGCAACAGGAAAATAAAATGAGGACACCAGGGAATGAGCAAAGTTTCTCATATTAGTGGCTCTCCAGCTTGTAGTTCTCAGAGGCAGTGAGCACATTCCATTGCTGTCACAGCTGTCAGTTTCCCAAGACCTATTAAACATGGCCTCCCCATTCCCCAGCTTCTTGGAAACCCCCCATCTGCTTTTTGTCTGACTCTGATGGCACTAGGGAGCATATAATGACACCTGTCCTTCAGTGTGTCTAGCTTATTTCACTTTGCAAAATGTTCTTAAGGTTCATTTATGATGTTTCACGGAACAAAACGACCTTTATAAAGGCTGAGTAATATTCCTGGACATTTCTTTTAAGGACACGATTCAGTGCAGAGCAGAACCTGAGGATGAATCTGGGGATTCTAGTGTTAAGGTCATGGATGCTCGAAGGAACTGACAAAGGAGTTGTGGGAGAGGCAGTGACGTTGGGTGAAGTGGTCCAGCGTTTCTGATACGAAGAAGAGAGTGGTGGCCTTGGCTCGGGGCTGCCCTGGGCCGTGGAGGATGGAGTCTGAGTTTTGGGTCCCCAAATGACAGGTCACTGTTGACCTTGGCATGAGTGATATGGGAGGAGGGCATGGAGGAAGCCTGTGTGGAGTCGCCAGTCTGCACCTGGGGGAGTCAGAGGAGAAGCCACAGAGGTAGCAGGTAGATGATACTGCTGGGCAGCAAAATGGAGGGAGCAGAGAGAGGACTTGGAAGATGGTGATGCTGGGGCTGCCCTGACACATCATCCGAGATGATGCTCTGGTTAGAGGAGAAAGCCTACGCGGGGCTGATGGGAGCAGGGCGGGAGTACCTCTGAGGAAGCGCCTAGATGCTATTTGAGAGGCAGGAAGAGTCCTGGAGGAGAGGGCAGGAGGGTGGGGCATGTTCTCCCTATTGTCTGTCTCTGTGAAATAGGAAGCAGGAACCTCAGCAGAGTGAGTGGGGCCTGGTCTGAGGAGCTGGGAGGAGGCACAGAAGGGCCTCCCAGGAAGAGCGCAAGACAGAGAGGAGGAGGACAGGAAGAGTGTGGGGATGGCCAAGGCTGCTGCATGCTGAGCGCATATTCTCCCTTAATTCTCCGGAAGGCTCTGTGATGTCTTTTATTTTTACTTTGTTTACTATCTCTCTGTGTGTGTGTGTACACATGTGTGTGAGCAGCATTTGTGTGGAGGCCAGAAGATAACACGGGGAAGTTGGCTCTCTCCTTCCACTATGAGATAGAGGAATCAAACTCAGGTCATCAGGTTTCTGCAGCAGGTGTTTTTATCCACTGAGGCATCCTGCCATCCCCTATTTTTATCTTCCATTTTATTTGCTTATTTATTTAATTTATGTTTCAGACAGAGTCTCATGTGGTCTAGGCTGGCCTCAAACTTGCTGTGTAGCTGAAAATGACCTGGAATTCCTGATTCTCTTGCCTCCACCTCCTGAGCACTGAGATCCCACACTTGGGTACCAGGCTGGGAAGGAACTCCGGGCTTCACGCACTCCGGTCCAACCCTCTGCCACTGTGCTGCATCCTCAGCCCTGGGTTTCATCTTGTTGATGAAATGAGAAGACTCTGAACGCTTGTGTGCCCCACCCCCACTGTTGAAACCTCTAGAGCAGTGGCCCTCAACCTGTGGGTCAAGACCTCTTTGGGGGTCAAATGACCCTTTCACAGGGGTCACCTAAGACCATCGGAAAACACAGATATTTACATTAGGACTCATACAGAAGCAAAATTACAGTTATGAAGTAGCAATGAAAATAATTTTGGGGGGGTTGGGGATTTAGCTCAGTGGTAGAGCGCTTACTCAGCAAGTGCAAGGCCCTAGGTTCGGTCCTCAGCTCCGGAAAAAAATAATAATAATTTTATGGTGGGGGGGGTCACCACAGCATGAGCAACTGTACTAAAGGGTTGCAGCATTAGGAGGGTTGAGAACCACTGCTCTAGAGGGTGGTGCTGATAGATGGAGCCTGTGGAAGATGATGAAGGCAGAGGGTGGGGCCCACAAATGGCCTTATTGTCCTTATTATTTTTGTTGATGCTGGGGTGGTACCCAGGGCCTTGCACATGCTAAGCAGGTGCTCTGCCTTGAGCTCCACCCCAGCCCTATCTAGAGACCTTCCGAAGGAGGCCTGGAGCTAATATATCCATCTACCACAAGGATGCAGTGAGAAGGAACTGTCTGTGAGGCAGAGAAACCCACTCGTGAGGCATGGAGCTCACCACTCCTGGCTGGAGTCTGGACAGCTGTGAGAAATAAGGCTCAGTGCTTTTGCTTTCTCTGTTTTTCCTGGTGCTGGGAATCGAACTCAGAACCTCCCATATGCCAAGCAAGCACTTTGCCACTGAGCTATAGTCCCAGTCTTGCTCTGGCTGTTTATACACCCAGTGATCTACGGCATTTGTTGAAATCGCCTGGACAGACTGAGATGGAATGAGCTTCTGCTGTCCATCGTGTGACCTGCAGGTCTGACCCCAGGACTGGGCTATCAGAAGCCTGTCCAGGGTCTGGGGAGATGGCCCTGTTGGTAAGTCCTGCTATGCTAATGTGAGGACCTGAATTTGGATTCTCAGCAGCCACGTAAAAAGTAGGGTGTGATGGTGCAGGCCTGCAATCCCCATGTTGGTGCCTGGAGACAGCCCGGTCCTGGATGCTTACTGGTCAGCAGGTCTAGTCCATCTGTGCGGTTCAGTGAGAGACATTGTCTCCAAAAATAAGATGGAAGACAATAAACGAAGACACCCAACTTCAACATCTAACCTTCATGACACATGCACACATGTGGACAGGTGCACACGCACACACACACACACAGACACACACACACACACACACACACACACAGCACGCGCTTGAAGGCTATTCTGTTCATTTTTAAAGTCCCGTTTATTTTTCTCTTTGTAAAGGACTGATGGTTATTTCAGGACATTTGGAAAATTCAAAGAAATATAATTATGAAAATTTCTCAATGCTTATGAACCCACTGCCCAAAGAGAAATCTCTGGCAGGTGGAGCTGCCCATCAGCAGATCTCCTGTCTCTGGGAGTCTTGCAAACAGCTGGACTACATTTCCCAGCCTTCCTTGCGAAGAGAGCAGCACGTGACTGAGCTCTCACCAATGGGATGTGGGAGAGAGTGAAGTCACCCTCTTCTGGGGCACAGCTCAAAAGATTTATGAGGTTTTGAGGGATCCTAGGCCTGCTGACACTTTGACCTCTGACCTCTGTCCTCTAGAACTGTCAGGAAGTGTGTCCTTACTGTATTAAAGACCAGTTGCTGTCCTGTCCCGTGTCATGTGTGGGTTCCTCCACCCCGCCTCCACTCCCGCGGGAAGTAACCACAGGACTCCAGCAGAGCGGACCCGCCCATGCCCTGCCGCCCCACAGTGTCTGAAGGGAGGACTGACCCTCTAAGTGTGTCGATCCTTTGAACTCTGAGTTGAGAGAACTCCCCCAGCAATGTCCCTTCTGCGTCATGCTATACACAGCCTCTCAGGCTGGCTTTTGTTGTTCGTCCTGCTACTTAGCGTTCGTTCATTTGTCACAGTCTTTCCCTTGCCCTCAGACAGCTCGGTGGCAGAGCTCCAGGGGTGCACTGAAGCCCTGCACCCCACTTACAGCCCCGCACAACCCACTGTAGGTAGTTCCCACAATTTGCTTCTACCAACAGTGCCTCATGAGAAATACCTCTGCCCACAAATATCCCCATGAGAAAGTGGTCAGCCCACCTCAGTTGCCAGCCTCAGCCTCACCTCTGCTTGTGGCGGCTGTCCTAAAGACTAGGGTATTAGAGAGATCTGTCCTGCCCAGAGGCACGTGGTCTCTTTCTGATGTGAATTCCCCTCCTGTTGTGTTTGACTTCACATCCACTATGTAGCTGAAGATGACTTTGAACTCCCAACCTTCCTGTCTTTATCTCCCAAGTGCTGGGGTAGCAGGCACGGCTCCTGCATGCTAGGCGTCTGTTCTGCTTTGGGCTACATCCCCAGTCCTTCTCATGTGTTTTCTGGTGCGTTGCTGACCCTTGCTTTGCCCCAATTCTATTGGAGCCCCTTACCAGTTCCACTACCACTTGAAGCTACAGAAATGAGGTGTTGGACAACTGGTCTTTAATACAACTGGTCTTTAATACAGCAAGAATGTTCTTCCTCACAGAGGTCAGAAGTCAAGGTGTCAACAGGCCTAGGAACCCTCAAAGCCTCATAAAGATACCTACTTAAGCATATCCACAACCGCCCCCCCATTTACTTATTTTTATGGGGTTTCACTATGTAGCCTTCTCAAACAGCCCCTCAGTTTATTTATTTTTATGGGGAGTCTCACTATGTTGCCTTGTCTGGCCTGGAACTTGTCATGTAGACCAGGCTGGCCTCAGACTCACTGAGATCCATCTGCCTCTGCCTCCAGAGTGCTGGGACTAAAGGTGTGCGCCACCACACCCAGAAAAGACCCCATTGCTGTGGAATGTTCTGTATGGCAAATGTGTTGCTAATTAGTCAATAAATAAAACACTGATTGGCCATTGGCTAGGCAGGAAGTGTAGGCGGGACAAGGAGGAGAATAAAGCTGGGAAGTGGAAGGCTGAGTCAGAGAGACACTGCCAGCCGCCATGATGAGAAACAGCATGTGAAGATGCCGGTAAGCCACGAGCCATGTGGCAAGGTATAGATTAATGGAAATGGATTAATTTAATCTGTAAGAACAGTTAGTAAGAAGCCTGCCACGGCCATACAGTTTGTAACCAATATAAGTCTCTGTGTTTACTTGGTCGGGTCTGAGCGGTTGTGGGACT